CTGCTTGTAACAATCGAGTTGTCATTGCATGCTTCCTCCGACATACTTGAGACAGGGCGTCAATTATAATATAGACGAAAGAGTGACGTATTACCATATTATGACTTCTGACAATGTAGCAGAGACATTTGTAATGTAAAATCGTAGGCTGGACCTACAATGTCGTATAATATTGGTGTTCTAGTCTCCAGTGGAGCTATGTGATGTAGTGAACACGATACATAGTGACTCGGATTCAATAGTTGGAACAGTCCACATGCTAAACATTATATTTTATATACGTAACACCAGAAACGCTAGTAACAGAGAGGAGAAAACTCTAGAAGTCACCCCATTGGTTATATAGTCAGATCAGGAGCTCATTAAGATTACACGGAGACAGAAAAAATTCCACTCACAGATTGACGGCCTCTGTCATCAAGTATGGTGCCCTCAGATCTTGTATTTTCCCAGTATGCATTGAACACGGATTTTCCACATTGTACAGTTTGTGCATCCATTCTTCCTGTTTGTGTCAAAGTACAGAGTGTCGGTTTTTGTGGTATCGCTCTTTGTGGATGGACTCAAAAGTCTTGCCCCACGAAATGAATAAGGGTACACAAGTCGCAACAGTAATTTCTCATTGTGAGGAGTTAGTTTAGGGTTTAAGCCTTAAACCCTAAACTTAAAGGTCAAGCTTACACAATCCACCAGAATTGATCTTATCAGCCGGACTATAAGTCCGGCTGATAAGATAATAAGAGCCAATTCTTGATGCTTATTATCATGATATGATAATAAGCATCAAGTCCTGTGTATTTTCATTCTTGCACACCTAATAAGCATCATACTCATTATCATGATATGATGCAATATTCAGCGACGCCTTCAATTGCGAAGTTGACGTGTCCAAGAATTAAAATATACAGGACATGAGATCAGACTCCTTGATACTATCACTCTTCCAGAACGCATCTTGCAACATACATCGAGTACCAGTGAACTTTGATATCGGAGACAAGGACACCTTAACAACCACATTTCTACCATTTTTTTTTCGGTAGATGGAGACGCTCTTTTCACTCCCTGAAGATAGAATCACTGATTTGGAGGTCAGACAGCGGTCAGCCGAAATTGGGTCCCGTTCGCTCAAAGGGCGGGAATCAGTTTCTGAGGAAGGTTGGAACTTCGAGGGGAAGGCATATGAGTGGTATACGATCTGTAGGGATCATAGTTTGTTGGATATAAAAATTTCGACTACTGCTAGAGGCAGATGCGTATTGATCACACGAATTCCAAGTGTAGACCGTCAATGAATCTGATCATGGTAATCTTTAAGTGTCCACATAAGAATCATCATTCCCATTGTAGGAATGATGATTCTTGACGTAACACTCTTACAGAGAAATTGGGTCGTATCAGCTTTCCGTGAAGAATTTGAGCAAGGCCCGTACTCTTCACGATATTCAGGTGCTGGACCACCACATCCTTAAACTCCGGCGGTTGCACGATGTGGACACTGGTACATCCCTGGAGCTTGGTCCTATCTCCTGCAATCGGGATGATTATAGTTCGACTCCTTCGATAGATGCCATCTTTTCGTTCTCGCAGTCCATGTATCTCTAACTCATTGATGGTCCAAAATTGCAGGTCAGCTCTCCTGGGTCTAAATCGTCACTTGCCCTTGGAGGAGCTGCTACTGAACCTCTGAGTCATGCACTACAATCCCCGTACGCGCAATTCCAGGCAGCTGCAATAGAATCCCCACTTCCTCAGGATGCGTCGGGTAAGCTTCAGTTCTGTCCAGAAAATGAAAATATGGGGGCTCGTCTCAGTTAATCAACTCTGAGCTTTACCTGTCCCTTCTGAAGTGTGATGACTAAGATTCCTGGAGTCCGAGTCCACTGTTATCTGTCATCTGCACTGCTGATGCAAGAGAACTCGATGGGCCTTAATCTATTGGGGACTTATTGAGTGTTGGACATGCGGATTTTGATAAAACGAATCTGGTAGACTCTACGCCCATCTCACATGGTCAACATTGGAGCATTTCTCGATACCTCCAGACTTGATGCTTCGTGCAACTTCAGTGTACAGCACGTGCTTGATCCGTCAGCAGACGAGAGCGAACTCGTCTAATTCAGAGTGTGATTTCAAAGTCAAAGACTGGAGTTCTAAGTCTCCTCTAGATGACTATACACTTCCAGCCTTGGAGATTGTCCTTATCACGAGGTTTCCATCTCTTGATCTGCCAAATTGAACTTCTCTTAGCCTTGGCTGTAACAACCTCCCCTGTGACCGTTTGATCCAGCGAGAAAAATTTAAGAACATGATATCTCTCTCGCAACTCATGAGAAAACTATTATATGCAAGGCTACTTCACCAATGTTAGGAAAGTATTGAACAACTTTGGACCAAGCCCGAAACAAATTCATCCCATGCTTCAGTATTTTGAATAATCAAATAACTGGCTTTCTAGCAAGACTTACCGAAGATACTCTGTTCCTTCTGAGAACCACAAAGTATGTAATTCCGTGTGAACAAAGTCTGAGAATTCCTCGTCGGAGCAACATGTTACGTGATACGTTTGCTGTATCTCGATGAAGTGAATGAAGACTGTCTTCACACAGTGTTCAATTCGCTGGAGAACACTTCGTCAGTTCATCACCTCAATCTTGTAGCAACAGACTGGCCTCGCGTTCCTTTGATATTAGGCAGTTATCGGAAACAAATGGATTGATCACTCTCGACCTTCCTTTCACTCGTTCACAAGTGAGATACCTCCTAATCTTCGCCATGATCTTATACTCCGGGCGCTTATCCTAGCGGGAAATGATACTCATCGGCAACGAGGGCAGAGTATTACTAGCCAGAGAACGGTGTAATGCTCCACAAGCAGTTGACAACACACTCCTATTCTCAATTCGAGAGTACTGCTCTTAAATTTGGTACTGATTATATTTTTTGGTTCCCCCTGCGAAGGGGAGGAGGGCTGCGCCGGCCGTGGAGGTAGTGCAATACCGAGGCGACACTGGCGAGTCCGAGACAGCAAGCTGCCCCGTTGGACCCGCACCCGTGAAAGAAATTAGATTAATATCGTGAGGGTCGATGACCCTCGTATCAGATATTAAACTGATAAGAACAGATACTACACTTGATCTTAGCCAAAAGGCCGAGAAAGGTATGCTTTAGGATCGCAACTCGGCAGCAAATGAGGGTCACAAGAAGTAGAAATATTTATCTTTGCTTATGGGTTTTATAGAAAGGACTTTTCCCTCAATAGTCATACGGGCCACCTGCCTCAGTTCCTCACAAACCCGACCATCCTGCAAGATCTAGTCTTGACCCGGAAGCAATGTCCACAATATCCTGTTTCATCACAACGAATCTAGCGGGAAGTTACTGAGCTACGATGTGTACTGGGAATCAGCGTAGAGCTTGATAGTCTTACAATATCTTTACAGGATCTGTCATTCCCAGGTTTCTAACTTCATTGTAAAACAGCAAGTAGCGATTTTTACGCTTGAGCCTTTAGAATAGTATCAGAGGAGGAGACATCTCAAAATTCTGATTGAGAATTTCTGCCAAGTATCAAACCAAGGAGTTTGTCACGGTAACCTTAGATTTGTCTTTCACCAGGCTGCATGGGAGCTTGGACTTTGTGCCAATGTGCTCTAGCGTGATGCTTGACGCAGACAGGGGTTACAAATCGTAAGACCTTTCTGACAACATGATAACTGGAACCGTTCCCGAAGTTCCTGCTGCTGCTGAGAGCCTAACTGTAGGTTGTTTTCCTCGTGCAAAGAAGAAGGCTCGAAACGTTGCAGATGATTCCGGAGGGGAGATCTTCCATTGGAATTATTCTACGACCGAACGAGAGGCAGAGACGCTGGCTTCGTTGTCGACGAGATTGACAACCGGAGACCTCCGGTTTGGGTTGTCGCGGTCGCGCCAGTTCCTATTGGCACCCGTAGCAGGGATTTGACTCGCTGTCTGAGGGAGAACTTGAGAATCGAACTTATTCGACTGTTCTAGAAATTGCAGTATTCGTATTAGCTGTACTCAGCAAAATTTTCCAGTCAGGATTGGGATGTACTATATTTCGAATTCGTTGGAACGAAGGTTAGAGTTTGTGAGTTTAGAGTTTGCCAGTGCGAATCATGAGGTTTGATTTTTTCCCTCGAATGAGATGTCAGCCGCATCGTTTGGACATCACGATTCCGACCATACGTCCTTAAGTCATGTACCTCTGCGCGTCCTGCTTTCGCTTTTGCCTGAATCCACACCCACACTGACACCCGGGTGGAGAAACGCAATCACGCTTCTTCGCCCGGCGTCGAGAGTCGTGAGTGCCGCAGATGCACCAGACTCTGATCTCCGACTTTTCTCTCCACTTTTCTCTTACAGATCTTTCAGTATTGAAGGATGGCATCCGAATCAGAATCTCTAGTGCAAGCCGCAGTTCCATGAAGAGTCCTGCACCTGTCAAAGTCCCTTTAATCTCTTGGCTCAGAAAGCTTCATTCTGCGAATAGTGCGAAAGAAGGAAGAGATATATATATACACACGCGTCAATTTTAGGATGGATGGAGAGAGTTGATTAGGCCACGTGAGATAGTGAGCAGTTGCTCACTGTCCCACAGTTGCTCCGTGCTATGATTATAAATGAATTTTCATAACAATTGACAAACAAAAACTGAAGACTGCAAGAAAATCCCCCCTGTTTTCCAATTCCCACATTATCCTTGAAATCCCCCCTGTCCTTGAGTATTGTCCATACGACGTAAAACTCTTTGCTACAGAGTTGCATATTTTCCCACGGGGATCGATGGCTCTCACAGACTTCACAACAGAATCCATGCCATACATATACGAGGTCAATAAACAAAACAAAGATGTAGAGGTAGAGCTTAACGACCAACAAGAGGTATGTGGAAACTATCAGCATGCTAATTTTTATGCCATGAGGAAGACAGAACGAGAAATAATCAGAAGAAGTGAAGGAAGTAGCGATCCATGTAGGGCACCCAATACCATCATTCGAAGCACTTCGGATGAATAATTTTAACTGTAGACCAAAGAAGTGAGCAGATCCATATTCACTTGTTTTGCAAACTAGGTCTTTAGAGCAACATGAGACGACGGAGACCAACCTCGAACGAGAAGCTCTTCACATGTTTGATCGGTTGTTTTACTAGCGTCTTGCATGTAAGATTCGACATAGAGCTCCTTACTAAGGCTCACATCCACAGTGCTAGCTGGCTGGGTTTTCGAACTTCTCTCAGTACAAAACGCCGCTTTATGATTCAGATTGAAGACATGAGTTATCGGCGAGCTGCACTCCTTCAGAAGGAAACCCACAATAGTCTGCATGTTTACCAGTTGAACACTCTTCATGATCCTGTTTTCTTGTTCAATCCGACCAGCAATCGTAGAGGTCCTTTGGTGACCTGTAAGGACTTGTAGTTTGATTGATCCAGTACGTCCCATCATGTAATCTGAATCGTGGCATGGTGGCGATTTTTGTGTGGTCATCTTCATCTAAACTCCAACCGAAGACGTTCAAGTTTTGCGCCATTCTGGAAGGATTTGAGCTCTTCACCACAACACATACACCGTGATCTAAACTCCACCTCAACGCGACCTGCATCATCGAACATAACAGAACCACGTGAGGGCAGGTTTACACTTTTGAAAGGAGAGTAAACCATTATACGCTCACTTTCAGAAGATTTCGATTGCTCTAGGAACGTGGGAATTCCAACTCAAAACAACAGAGTGATATTCAGACCAGAACACCTTCAGGGCTACAATACACAGCCAAACAAACGCATGTCATTTCTTCGCTTGATGTTAGAATATTTTGAAATAGATCTTAATATCAACAACGCAAATTATAAAGATATGGGTTGAAAGACTCTCACAGGCTGCTCGGGGGCAATTCATCTCACAGCATCCTTTGTCAACGTTTTAACACGTGAAGAATTTGCGAATTACCAGTTTATTAGTGCTTGGTTGGTAGGCTTGCTAATCACATCCAACTCTCTTTTCCTGAATCTTCGAATTTAGCTGAATCTAGTCTCCTACTTTCTAGTTTTCAGGCAGGTCATCGATTTCGTACACCTCTTCTACCGCGAGGACAATTGATGCTGTGGCCAATTAACTGATCTGTAGGTTACAAGCTCTGAAGAAGAAAAATTTGCATTCAAGGACAGTCTTTTCAACATCACAGCGTTCGTCATTAGACACTGGGTACCGGTACTGAATGGCAGTGACAGTCACAGCGCTATTGGATCTTATGAAGGCCTGGGCGGGAATTGTGAACTTACCTGACCGACTGATTTTCCATGCTTCTCAGCAATTTCCTTGAGGATGGGGCTGTCGATGACTGCGTTCGAGGTGAATCCCGTAGAGTACTTAGGGCTCCCTAGAGCAGAAAAGGCCATGACCTTTATACCCATTTGTTTGCAAGCGTCAAGAAGCCTCGGCTGTAGGCATCCCGGGTGCATTTCCACCTGGCAATTCAGAGAAATACTATCCTCTTAAAAACCTTATGAATGAGCTTATGCACAAGTTCCAAGCCATAAAGCCTAGAATGTGCTCGAACAAACCACCCTCTGCTTGCATCATCTCTCAGAGTGAGAACCAACTTCCATCGTCTCACGTATAACCAAAATTATCGAAAGCCAAATCATACGCCTCTGCATTTAGGCAAGTGGTATCAGAGTACCTGATTCACAGCGGGGATTATCTTTGCATCGGCTGTTATCACCCCAAGCAGTCTGGAACCAAAATTGCTGACTCCGATCGCCCTGGTCAATCCCAGTTCCACGCACTGCTCCAGCGCCTTCCATACACCGACCAGATCAAGAGGCAAAAACGCATCTTCGGAGAGTGGCCCATAAGAAAGTTTCGTTCCAGGCTTGATCCTTACTGGAAAGTGGATGAGATACAGATCCACATACTCCAGCCGCAAATTACTGTATCCACAACGGTAGTCAGGGAGAGATAACTCAGAGTTTTGCAAAATCACTAGAAAAAGTCCAGAAGCAAATTTCTTAATCGACGCATGAGTTTGATTTCACGAAAAGCTTTTGAATTTCTTCTGACTGGTTAAGATGGGTTTCTGTGGTTGATTGATATTCCACTTTACCTAAGGCTTTCTCGGAGAGCAGGAATGACGTCATCTGCGTGAGTTTGTGCAGGACTTAGCTTTGTTGTGATGAATAACTCTTCTCGCTTGAATGTGCCAGAGTTTAGGACATCCTCTAGAACCTCGCCCATCATGGGTTCAGTTCTATACACAGAGGCAGTGTCAAAATGTCTGTACCCAATCTGCGTGGTTATTAGAATTGAATCATAACTGGCCCTTCGCTTGTGTGTCAATCTGTCAACACAAATAATTCCAGGGAACGAGCACAAATTGACTACAAGAAATCATCTCTATAAGCATAACATGTTACGAATTTCAGGTATAAAGTGAATGTAACCTCTGTAGTTGCATTCTGAGTGACATAATGATTCAGAGCAGAGCATTGGAAAAATGTCTGATGCTTATTCCCTTGCACATGTTGGTTCACTTCCTTCCAGTGGGTGTCTTTTCAAGATGCAATCTTGGACCTGATTCTGAATTATGAGCTAGATGGATCGAAGGCCTACCTCAAGAGCCTTCCGGAAGTAAGCCTTGGTTTCCTCCGGAGTTTCTTCTCTCGCTGACATGCCCAAAGCAATTGCTGGCATCAACGCCCCGGTGTTGAGCTTCAAGCTCTGGACTTCAACGAGATTTGTCATCCTAGAGAATCTGAGGAAACTCGACATCAAGCGAGAACGAATTGCAGCAGTGGGTAAGTGCCAATTCAGATGTATTTATAGCGATTAATGCTTCGGCTTCTGCGGAATGATACATATGCGTGCAATACTTATGCAGCAATATCATTCAGGGCCAGCAGAAATTTGGATACTAGCCCATGTTTAAACCTCTCCCACTTACCAGCAACGGAGCGATCGGATGTAGGCGGAGCTCAGCAAAAATAAAACAGCGTCACTATATTCAGAGCACTGAAACTAGCAATGAAACCCAACAATTGTTTATGCCATCCTCACACCTACAACAGATTAGAAACAGTTCTGAAACTTTGACTGACGAGCCTCTTTGACTCGAAGATTATACTATTTATTTGGAATTCTCTAAGTTAGAAGTAGTGACAAACATAAAAGACGCAGCCATTGCATGTGCACTGTGTCTTGGCACATAGGCAGGTGGCATGACATCAATCTGGCTCAAAATCGTGCTGAAATCACAGCTCAAGATTGCCTGTTTACTTCCATCTCTTACCTGTATAACCTCTTTACACAGCTCGAGATTGCCTATTTACTTCCATCTCTTACCTCTGTAACCTCTTTACACGACTCTGTTCTGATACTCTGTTTCAGGACGAGTTTCTCCTTCGTAATTGAAGGTTCTTATGTAAATTTTTGATTCAAACCGAGCCCACTGAAATCCACAGCCAATATCAGAAGGTACGCAAGGGCGCAATGACTGACGAGAAACAGACTCTGCAAAGTGCAAGCAGAAAAATGATGTTGAAAGTTGATGCTGTCAGGTTCCTGTGCAGTGTTCCTCGACGAAATGAGCTTCCAGGTTCAGTATTCGTAACCTCGAGAGCCGTCCTACCTCCGGAGGAATCTCGCTTTGAAGAAAGCTTTGGTCCAGATGGAGCTCTTCCAGGTACGGAGGATTGCACAACGAAGGGACACTCATCAGGTTGTTGTCAGATCGTACAAACAAAAACACGTTATACAATAATTATAAACAGATGTACTGTACTTTGACAGGCCCAGCAGCCCACAAATGTAAGTAGTCCACGCCACTCGATTTCGATAAAATAATCCTTTATATCATATAAGAGTTACGAACATGTAATCAGAATACATAGTCGTATACCAATAGAAATGTAGTGGGTGCTAGGTCTCTTTTTCGACACGTAGTCATTTTATTCAGATAATAACATGTCACGTGGGAATTAAAATGTTGAAGTCCAGTGCTAGAATACACTCTATCTAAATGAGACTTTCCTATCTATTCTCTATATGTATCAAGTTCCGTATGTAGTAGGAACACTACTTCACGTTGTTTTGTAGCCCGGAAGGTGTTGAGGTCTTTTGTTTTGAGTTGGAACTCCCACGCTCCTAGAGGAATCGAAATCTTATGAAAATGAACGTATAATGATTTACTCTTCTTTCAAAACTTTAAACCTGCCCTCAGGTGGTTTTGTTCGATGATGCAGGTCGCGTTGAGGTGTATAGCAGTTCCGAAGTAGTGTTCCAAGTATGTATGAGAGTTCCGTGTACCAATTGTTCAGCTCGACTACTGATCTTGGTTTTTGAAGTTATATTCTAAACATTCAGAACATCTACTGGAAGATTATCCTCATGTACATAAAATGTTATAGGTTACTGTACAATACAATTTCATTATGAAAATAAAAATGGAGGGTTAGTTATCTTTCACTTAAGGCTAATTAGTCCTCACCCTAGTATACATAAATGATCGAATACTCTATACTCTACCCTGATTGCTATTCATCCAAATAATCTACAAACCTGCATGTATCAATCGGAGTAGAGTGAAGGCTAATTAGCCCGAAGTGAAAGATAACTAATCGGTTTCAAAGAAAAATATATTATGCTTTGATTATATAATAATAAAATTTTCTACATGTAAAAATAAATATCATTTATGTAATCTTAACTCACCATTCTCACGGTACGAAATAAATATACCCTTGATATCAAGTCTTCAGTTTCTTTTGCTAAATAGCTTTATTTTTTTCCCAATGTTGCATCAATATCATGTTGTGAAGGAAAAAACCTGGCTTATTTTTTGAAGCTAAAGTGCTGACTCAACTTAGATAATTGGCAAATGTGAGGATGTGGATGGTATTTCAATTGAACTTCTCAAGTGTTGAGCAGATGCCTATACTCACTAAAGTGTTAGAGAATGATGTTATCTATGGGTTTATTTCAACTTGGTCTCTACGGAAGATTGTTCCTATTCACAAATTTGGGAGCAAGGTATCGGTGACAAACTATTGGACAATCATGGTGAGTAGTGCCAAGTTATTTGGCAAATTGATGGTGTCAAAGTTGAGCACATGGGTTGAATTTTGTCACAAGAGAGCACGGTTCCAAGCTGGTTTTTGTCCTACATTCAACATTATAGATCATATCTTGGTTTTGCGTGTTTTATGGGAGAAATCCAAGAGTAATGAAAAAGCTTTGTTTTGTGTGTTCATTGATTTCAAGAGAGTTTTTGATACAATATCTCCTGAGCTTTTATGTAAAAGATTGCAAACCATTGGACTATCATCAGATCTCTTAGCAGCGGTGGCCACATTATACCGCTTCGTTCGGGCCAAGATCAGCACTTCTCAAAGCGAAGAGACTTTGAGTACCATTGAAGTCACTCTTTTACTCTATTTGGAGTTTTTATAGTAGATGTAGAAAGGTGGTTAGAGGATTGTGAAAGTGAAGGTGTCAAACTTGAAGGTTTTGTCATTAAAACTCTTTTGTATGCAGATGATATCATATTACTATCATGTGATGACATTAGTTTACATAAACACCTTTACACTTTGGCTAGCTTCTATACTCAAAATCAAGTGAAGGTAAATTTGAAGAAGTCAAAAGTCATTCTTGTGCGCACTAGATTCAAGCTTTATTTCTTTTACAAAGCATTAGAGTTGGAACAAGTGAAGAGTTACAAATATTTAGGCTTGATTTCTCCTATGATTATAGTTGGGCACTTTGTGTGCAAAAGAGTGTAGAAGTTGGTTTCGAAGCTCTATATTCATTGCTAAATAGATGTAGAGTAGCTTATGTAGTGTCTTGGAGTCTTAGAAAATTCTTATTCAGAAGCTTAGTGTTTCCCGTTATCTTATATAGAACACAAGTGTGGGTGACTGGTTGTAAGTAGACAGGTTGGCAGTGGTTGAAGAGGGTGCAAAAGATTTATTTACAAGAAGAATTGGGTATGAGTACCCAAACTTCATATGCTCTTCTTCTTGCGGAAACATGTTGTCTATCTCTTTAGGCTGAAACTCTCTTCTTGACTATCACTTATGTCAAAAGAGTGAAATCTCTTGATGCTTCTCGGCTTACTCTTGAAGCTTTATGTGCCACACGTTCCAAGATATGGTTTGAAGATGTGGTGACTTGGTCTTTGAGGTGGAATGTGACGGAACTCGATTGAGATTTGCAACCTATGGCACTTTGAGAGCATATCAAAGAGAAATTTCTCAGCATTATTTGGAGCAGACGAGTTACTAAAATGAAGTTTTATGAACTTCATGTGAATCCTATGCTTATTTATTGTGAGGAAGTATACCTTGTTAGAGAGATCTATACATCTTTACGTCATATTATTGCAACGCATAGAACAACATCTCATAGGCTTGGAATTGAGGAAGTACATTGGTTGAATATTGATAAGAGTGAACGGATTTGTAAACTATATCATGGGTAAAATGTTGATGATAAAGAGTATGTGTTTCTTACTTGTCCTAGATTATAGAGATTAGAGTGTCTCATAAAATTGTTGTTGAGAATTTCTATTTTTTGTTTCAACTTCAACCTTCTGATTTAGATTGTTACATTATGAATGTTATTGGTTAATGTTGTAGTGCATTGGGCACTAGCTAGCGGATTATTTTGGTTCTTTACTAGTTTGTTGTAGTATTGTGTTTTTTAGCCTTTTGGGTGCCACGGTCTTGATCTATTTACCATAATTCACAAAGTGAACTCAAGAATTTTTGTCTATGATAGATATTAATCTACAATAAAGTGCACGCGTCTAATGCAACGAATGGTATGCATGCACCCACTATTTTGTTTTTCCATTAATTCATGACAACTTACATTGATACTATTCTCATGATGGAAGACAGAGAGCGGGGCAGAAGTGCGTGACACCATACTCGGTTCACGGTCCCAAAAGTTTATTATAATCCTGCTGATACATTTGAGGTGCAGATCCCTTCCTATGGACGACTGCACTAGTTTGGCGAAATTGCAGTACATTCTTTTATGCTCTTTATAAGGTCTGGTACTATCCAAGTCGTGATAGATTGTGTGGACATCCATATCAACACATAACTGGGCATTTTCCACATCACAGAAGTTGCTTCACTTGATGTACTCCTGCACTAATTTGCCCATTGTATGGGAACATATACCACATTCACATGCACAGAAGTCAGTTGTGTCGAGAAACGAATCACAATTTCTAGAACTCAAATGTGGGTGAGGAATGGTTGTGATTTGGCTACCTACTACCAAATACTTCCGTATGTACTTGGAACACTACTTCACGGTGTATGTGTTGTGGTCAAGAGATGAAATCCTTCCAGAATGGCGCAAAACTTGAAGGTCTTCGGTTGGAATTTAGATGATTATGACCACACAAAAATCGCCACCATGCCACGATTCAGATTACATGATGGGACGGACTGGATCAATCAAACTACAAGTCCTTACAGGTCACCGAAGGACCTCTTCGATTGCTGGTCGGATTGAACAATAAAACAGGATCATGAAGAGTGTTCAACTGGTAAACATGCAGACTATTGTGGGTTTCCTTCTGAAGGAGTGCAGCTCGCAGATAACTCATGACTTCAATCTGAATCATAAAGCGGCGTTTTGTACTGAGAGAAGTCCGAAATGGATGTGGATGTGAGCCTTAGTAAGAATCTCCAGGTCGAATGTTACATGCAAGACGCTAGTAAAAAAACCGATCGAACATGTGAAGAGGTTCTCGACTGAAGATTTCTCGTTCGAGGTTGGTCTCTGTCGTCTCATGTTGCTCTAAAGACCTCATTTGCAAAACAAGTGAATCTGGATCTGCTCACTTCTTTGGTTTACAGTAAATTTATTTATCCGAAGTGCTTCGAATGATGGTATTGGGTGCCCTACCATGATCGCTACTTCCTTCACTTCTTCTAATCATTTCTCGTTCTTTCTTCCTCATGGCATGAAAATTAGCATGCTGATAGTTTCCACATACCTCTTGTTGGTCGTTTAGCTCTACCCCTACATCTTTGTTTTGTTTATTGACCTCGTATATGTATGGCATTGATTCTGGTGTGAAGTCTGTGAGAGCCATCGATCCCCGTGGAAAAATATGCAACTCTGTAGCAAAGATTTCTACGTCGTATGGACAATACCCAAGGACGGGGGGATTTCAGGGATAATGTGGGAATTGGAAAACACTTGGGATCAAGAAATATCTCTCAAATTTTGTTAAAGTGTTCATTTCTGGAAGTCTTTATATTTGTCAATAGTCATGAAAAATCTTTTATAATCATAGCACGGAGCAACTGCTCACTATCCCACGTTGCCTAATCGAGTCCCTCCACCCATCCGAAGATTGACGAGTGTGTGTATATATATATATCTTCCCTCTTTCGCAAACTGAAGCTTTCTGAGCCAAGAGATTAAAGGGACTTTGACAGGTGCAGGACTCTTCATGGAACTGCGGGTTGCACTAGAGATTCTGATTCGGATGTCGTCCTTCAATACTGAAAGATCTTTAAGAGAAAAGTGGAGAGAAAAGTCGGAGATCAGAGTCTGGTGCACTCACGACTCTCGACGCCGGGCGAAGAAGCGTGATTGCGTTTCTCCACCCGGGTGTGGGTGTGGGTGTAGATTCAGGCAAAAGCGAAAGCAGGACGCGCAGAGGTACTTGATTTAAGGACGTACGATTGGAATCGTGATGTCCAAACGATGCGGCTGACATCTCATACGAGGGAAGAAATCAAACCTCATGATTCGCACTGGCAAACTCTAAACCTTCGTTCCAACGAATTCGAAATATAGTACATCCCAATCCCTGACTGGAAAATTTTGCTGAGTACAGCTAATAAGAGTACTGCAATTCCTAGGCCTCAATTCTGCTACCAATCCCTGACTGGAAAATTTTGCTGAGTACAGCTAATAAGAGTACTGCAATTCCTAGGCCTCAATTCTGCTACCAACGGGAAAAATTCAAGGCTCGAAACGTTGCAGATGATTCCCTAGAGAAGATCTTCCATTGGAATTATCCTACGACCGAACGAGAGGCAGAGACGCTGGCTTCGTTGTCGACGAGATTGACAACCGGAGACCTCCGGTTTGGGTTGTCGCAGTCGCGCCAGTTCCTATTGGCGCCCGTAGCAGGGATTTCGCTCGCTGTCAGAGGGAGAACTTGAGAATCGAACTTATTCGACTGTTCTGATTCTTCTTTGCACGAGGAAAACAACCTACAGTTAGGCTTTCAGCAGCAAAGAGCATTAGCAGTTATCATGTTGTCAGAAAGGTCTTGCAATTTGTAACCCCTGTCTGCGTCAAGCATGACGCTAGAGCACACTGGCACAAAGTCCAAGCTCCCATGCAGCCTGGTGAAAGGCAAATCTAAGGTTACCCTGACAAAATCCTTGGTTTGATACTTGGCAGAAATCCTCAATGAGAACTTTTAGAAGTCTCCACCTCTGAGACTATTCTAAAGCTCAAGCGTAAATTTCGCTACTTGCTGTTCTACAATGAAGGTAGAAACCTGGCAATGACAGATCCTGTAAGACTATCAAGCTCTACGCTGATTCCCAGTACACATCGTAGCTCAGTAACTTCCGACTGGATTCGTTGTGATGAAACATGATATTGTGGACAATGCTTCCGGGTCAAGACTAGATCTTGCAGGAGTTTGGATGGTCGGGTTTGTGAGGAACTGAGGCAGGTGGCCCGTATGACTATTGAGAGGAGTAGTCCATGGTCTAAAACCCATAAGCAAAGATAAATATTTCTACTTCTTGTGACCCTCATTAACTGCCGAGTTCCACTGCTGGGGTATACCTTTCTCGGCCTTTTGGCTAAGATCAAGTGTAGTATCTGTTCTTATCAGTTTAATATCTGATACGAGGGTCATCGACCCTCACGATATTAATCTAATTTCTTTCACGGTTGCGGGTCCAACGGGGCAGCTTGCTGTCTCGGACTCGCCAGTGTCGCCTCGGTATTGCACTACCTCCTTGGCTGGCGCAGCCCTCCTCCCCTCTGCAGGGGAACCAATAAATTTAATCAGGACCTAACTAGAGCGGTACACCTACATTGAGATTTGGAACTCGAAATGTAAATTGAATGTGTGGTCAGCTGTGAGCGGAGCAATACACCATTCTCTGGATAGAAATCCCCCTGCCGTCGTTGCCGATGAGATGAAGTTGCCGATGAGATGAAGTAAGAGGAAGGTCGAGAGTGATCAACCATTTGTTTTTTATAACTGCCCAATATCAACGGAACGCTAGGCCAGTCTGTTGCCAGAAGATTGAGGTGATGAACTGACGAAGTGTTCTCCAGCGAAGTGAACACTGTGTGAAGACAGTGTTCACTCACTTCATCGAGATACAGCAAACGTATCAGTTAACATGTTGGTCCGACAAGGATTTCTCAGACTTTGTTCACACGAAATTATATACTTTGTGGTTCTCAGAAGGAACAGAGTATCTTCGGTAAGTCTTGCTAGAATGCCACTTGATAATTCAAAATACTGAAGCATGGGATGATTTTGTTTCTGGCTTGGTCGAAAGTTGTTCAATACTTTCCTAACATTGGTGAAGTTGGCTTGCATATAATAGTTATCTCATGAGTTGCGAGAGAGATATCATGTTCTTAACATTTTCTCGCTGGATCAAACGGACACGGGGGACATTGTTATAGCCAAGGCTAAGAGAAGTTCAATTTAGCAGATCAAGGGATGGAAACCCCGTGATAAGAACAATCTCCGAGGCTGGAAGTGTGTGGTCATCTAGAGGAGACTTAGAACTCCAGTCTTTGATTCTGAAATCACACTCTGGAAGTCGGGAAGCTGAACAACAATATCACTTACATGGATAGTTTAAGCAGTCCCAACTAATCCAGTTGAATCTGTTATCCAACCAATAGATGCTGACTATGTGTCATTTCTGCGACAAGAATAGTTCGAAAATCCTGTCTTAACATTTTGACCTAGATCGCATTCCTTGACTATATGAGGTTTCTCTGAAAATATACAACTCTGGTGTTACAGTACATGTAGTCCTCAACAGCCAGCGGCATGGTCTTCCTCTACGCCGTAATGTATTCGGGTTTCGACTGCTTGCGATCTGAAATCCAATTTTCATGTACCTGGAGGGCCAATTTTGTTAGAGGAGGTTCAGTTCCACAGTTCTGACACCCTTATGGCCCGAGCTTGATTAGTATGACATTCCGCGCTGCATCTGCATCTCTCTAGGATATACAGATAGTGAATACATTTTGGAATAATCATGCAGAGAGGACTTTACTTGACAAATATACTTAGTAGTGATTTCTGAAATTCGCATTCGTCAAGGCATATGGAGTTTTCACTTCAGACATGGTCCACCCCATAGCTTAAAAAACAAGAAACTGATAAAAAAATATCCCAGGGAAATGTATTGACATTTCAATGACAAGACTGAATAGATTAACTGATATTTGAGAGTTCAGAATGGAAAACAGTAATTGAATGTGAATGACAACGCCATGACGCTGGCAAAGACAACGCCATCGCTCGGTACTCCATTCACGGACTGTACTCCCTCTACAACATCGACATCCCAGCAGGGCGACAACATCATCTACCTGACTCAGAGGAAGGCCTCAGTTCCCTCTAATGGGGTCATGTACAACTGCCTCCGCCTCCAGTCCCCGCCCGTCTCCTCCTAATCCGTCAGCGACTGGCAACTCTGGAGAGTACGAGGAGCAGCAGCAACTGCACCCAATCACGACAACATTTGTTCATGACGAGGGACAAGTGTAGAGCCAGTGATGCCGTCCATCGATCGAGACCACACAAGCTGCTCACATACTGTACTCAGTTTCTTGACTACCCGCAGAGATTCATGTAACAAAGTTTGTCCCCAGCGTTATTGAGGATGAAAATTGTGAGGAGACATTTTGGCATGATAAATAAATTCAGTACATATCATAATCTCTACGCCATGCTCATCAACTCTCCTATAGTTAGAAAATTAACCCTCCGCTGGACCATCAATGAGCTAGAGATACATAGACTGCGAGAACGAAAAGATGGCATCTACTGTATCGAGGGAGTCGAACTATAATCATCCCGATTGCAGGAGATAGGACCAAGCAACAGGGATGTACATTCTTAATACCAGTGTTCACATCGTGCGTCCGCCGGAGTTTAAGGATGTGGTGGTGCAGCACCTGAATATCGTGAAGAGTACGGGCCTTGCACAAATCCTTCACGGAAAGCTGATACGACCCAATCTCTCTGTAGGAGTGTTACGTCAAGAATCATCATTCCTACAATGAAAATGACGATTCTTATGTGGACACTTCAGATTACCATGATCAGATTCATTGACAGTCTACACGAATTCGTGTGATTAATACGCATCTGTGCCCATATCTGCCTCTAACAGTAGTCGAAATTTTATTATCCAACAAACTATGATTCCTACAGTTCGTATACCGCTCATATGCCTTCCCCTCGAAGTCCCAACCTTCCTGAGAAACTGAGCTCCCGCCCTTTGAGCGTACGCGACCACGTACGTGACCGCTGTCTGACCTCCAAATGAGTGATTCTATCTTCAGGGAGTGAAACAAGCGAAAAAAAAAGGTGGAAATGTGATACTGAAGGTGTCCTTGTCTCTGATATCAAAGTTCACTGGTACTCGAAGTATGTTGTAAGATGCGTTCTGGCAGAGAAATAGTATCAACGAGTCTGATCTCAAGTCCTGCATATTATAATTTTTGGACACCTCAATATTCGAATTTGAAGGCGTCGCTGAATATTGCATCATACTCATCATCATGATAATGAGTATCATATCATGATAATAAGCTAACAAATTCATAATTGATACCGATTTAACGAAAACCCCTGAAATTTTAAGTCTGGCTGATAGTATCAATTCTAGTGGATTGTATAAGCTTGACCCTAAACCCTAAACTAAAAAACTGTAGCGACTTTTGTACCCTTATTCATTTCGTTGAGCAAGAATTTTGAGTCCATCCACAAACAGCGATACCACAAAAATGACACTCTGTACTTTGACACAAACAGTAAAACTGGATGTACAAACTGTACTATGTGGAAAAACCGTGTTCACTGCATACTGAGAAAATACATGATCTGAGGGCACCATACTTGATGACAGAGGCCGTCAATCTGTGACTTGAATTTTTGCTGTCTCTGTGTAATCTTAATGAGCTTCTGATCTGACTATGTAATCCATAGGGTGACTTCTAGAGTTTTCTCCTCTGTTACTAGCGTTTCTGGTGTTACTTATATAAAATATAATGTTTAACATGTGGACTGTTCCAACTGTTGAATCCGAGTCACTACATAGCGTGTTCACTACATCACATAGCTCCACTGGAGACTAGAACACCAATATTACATGACATTGTAGGTGCAGCCTACGATTTTATATTACAAATGTCTCTGCTACATTGTCAGAAGTCATAATATGGTAATACGCCACTCTTTCGTCTATATTATAATTGACGCCCTGTCTCAAGTATGTCGGAGTATGCATGAGATGACAACTCGATTGTTACAAGTAGTGTCATGAACGAAAATTGAGAACTCCAGCTGGTGTGACATACACGCCAGATGAGTTCGGAGGATGAGTGGGAATCATTGATGACGGACTATTAAAAATCCTTTGGAGAAATGAGAGTAACGCGAGATCCATGTAAAACCCTGGCCTCCTGATGCAAAAGGTTCAAATATCTTCACCCCCTCGTTCATTTTAATCGTCGACCTGTAAAGCCAGGAACATCTGCTTGGATTCTGACGAGGCTTCGTGAATTACACAGATCGAACCTTTACCATCGTTGTTGGAAGAATCTCCAGACTCAAAGAGGGGTTGTTTAAACTTCTAAGTCGAAGATTACTCATCTTGTCGACTCCGACGTCTTCACCACTGTCCATGACACTGAGATAGAACATGACGGACCATGCCATCGTATCCTGAGACGCCTGAATCTTCTCCACTCAATCATTTGGAAGCCACAAAGTCAGCTCCCTCCACCTGAGAGCTGTACCAATAAGAATCTGATGGACCGAACTTGCTCATCCAGAGACCTTTTCAGCTCTCATGTCGTCGCCTTTATCGTAATTCAACCTTACCGGAAGCCTCGACAGGATAAACCCGAACCTTAAAATGCTCGCGTCTCTTCATACCTCAGATCCAGACCGGGATCGACGAAAGAAATCACCAGATTGAGAATCACAGAGGACCAGCCAGACTGCAAAGCGTTTCCCTCGGCTCACCATTGACCCTTTATCGTACTCCAACTTCACCGGAAGCCTCGACAGGATAAACCCGAACCTAAAATGCTCGGGTCTCTTCATGCCTCAGATCCAGACCGGGATCGACCAAAAAAATTCCTAGATTGAGAATCAAGGAGGACCAGTCAGACTGCAAAGCGTTTCCCTCGGCTCAATATTGACTCCCTCCAGTGTTTGACTGTTTGAGTGACATGTTGTAACTAAAAGAGCTGACAAGATCTACTCTAGCTCTAAAGCATCTGGTGATTGGGTGCTCTACTTCTGACTCGTTCTTGAGACCAATAAAGCAAGCAAATAACCTGATCAATACACTTTGACAGCAGTGTGTGGGGCACTATGTTCGTGAATTGTTGAGCTCGGTCAACTATATGAACTTTAAGGCCCATGTGCGGTACTCTGGCCCAAATCAATGAACTAAGTGTTCACAGATAGAGCATGCACAACTACATGAACAGTCTGCATGTCTGTAAAGAAAATATACAACACAAATGTCGGTAGAAAATTCGAACCATTGGTCGAGGTGGCATTTGAGCTCTGTTCCAGCTCTACCATCAGAGATTTATTGTAAGGTCGGACACAAGGCGCCCCGAAAGGCCGAAATTTCC